TTTTTCCATATACGTTTTTAAACTGGTCGATTTGAAGTGAAAGTGAGTAAGTCAATTGTTTCGAATTCAGGCTGGCCAATCGGAGCGCAGTTGTCATCGTAATGATTTGGCAGAATAACTTTCAAACAAATTAAATGACATTTCGTCTCTATTTCTGGTTATATACTCGATTTGTAACAAGTGTCAGTTAATACAACAAAAACTTAAAAATTTATTTTTGGTAAATTTATTATGTTTTGTAAAAAGTCATGGGACTAAAGTTGTTGTCTATGTTGTTAGTAATATGGTTCAGCGAGATTAATATTTAAAAAATAACGCTGTGTACGTTTCAATTCGTGCATGATAAAAAAATATTTCTTCATTATTATCGATATAAAAAACGAACAATATAAAGATAAATTAATTTGATTTGACTGGACTCGAACTAGCGTTTATTGTCACACCGGGGCCACCACTCTTATCAACAGAGCTACAGGCCGGGTCACAGTCAAACTACAGACCGAGACTCGTTCAAACTGTAGACCGAGTCAGAGTAGTTGCCTGCTAATCGGTATTCTACAGGATATATCACGGATAATGGGCGATGTAATTACACGATTTAATTCCGCTTTCTACTTTCCATCACCGGGAGACTATACGTACTCGTGGGTTGCACCACTATGTTGTAGATATTCCAAAGATTCACACAAAGCGTTACGCTTCCACATTTATATGGCGAACGGCTGTGGAATGGAATTCTCTGCCTGCTGACTTGTTCCCTGAACGCTATGAATTGGGCCTTTTCAAGGCGAGGGTAAGTAGCCATTATTTAGGTGTGTATGCTCCATCGCCGAACTCCTTGCCACTTTCAATAGATGAGATAGAGGTCAAATGCGCTCCTACATATTTTATAATAAAAAGAAATAAACAGCTACAGACCGAGTCAAAGTCAAGTTATGGACCGAGTCGCAGTCAAGCCCCGTTGTGGCAACTGACGCTATTTTGAGTCCAGTCAGATTGAAGAATTTTTCTTAATGTTGTTTAGTGCAACTAGTAATCATTAGAACGTAGTAACATTCACAATTCACGCATTTTTGGAAATCTATCGATAAAACTGTCGACAACAACTGCATGACTATTTAAATTTTTATGAAAACTGGCAACCCTGCAAATGTCTTCTCACTCTGTCTTCAAAAAAGACAGACTATAATATAATTATAATTCATACTTTACTGAAGTATTTTCACGAAAAATGTAATAAAATATTTATTTCACTAGTTTCTCAAAGACCCTGCTTTTGAATATATCACTTTATTATTGAGGGAGCTCACCTAACTTTATTAGGGTTACCTTAATCTAGTTATGTGTTGTGGGTTCCGGACTGAATGTGAGAAATATTATATTAATAAATATAATTTTTTAACCCACTTGTTACTATCGTCCTTTTAAACGGACACCACACAATAAAAATTATTATAAACAATGAAGGTACTTAGAAATAAACTGTTTATGTTCATTCGACACGTTACACCTGTGCGGATACGACACAATATTCATTGTGTGTGATTAAAATTGTGTTGAATTTAAAATAATTATTTAAAAATACTGTTTTGACAATGGAAAATTCCAGGTATGTATATAAAATTATTTAAATAATATTTTTTTCCAAAATGCACGAAAATTAATAGTTAAAGGTGTCTTTTAACGCGTATCATCAGAATCTTTTTTTGGTTATCAATAAAAACAAGATATTTTATCAAGTTTAATAGCCGTTCTTTTAAACGACCAATAGCAATATGTACTACTACGACGTTTGTTCTGCCTTTCAGTGTGCAGAAACGGTATTCGCGGCCTTTGACGTTAAATGAAATCATCGGAGAGTTAGAGGAGGATGAAGAAGAATCAACACCTGTTTCCATCAGTATTTTACCTCCTGAAAACTGCAATGCAGATGTGACAGATGAAGATTCTGGAGATGAAAACTATGTAATGTTACATAATTTACCAGGATCTCAGTTGAGGGCGCCAGCAGAGTTTCGTTACCGATCTGCAAATTGTAGTGATGAAGATGATGATGATGTCCCACTCATACAGTTATCAAAACATAGGCGTGTGACTGCTGAAGAACTCAATAATTTTGAAGAGTCTCCGTCCACTTCAAAATCAAGTGAGACTACGAGTGGTGTAACAATTTCAAAAACTAAATCATATAAATGGACTGCACGAGATATTCATCCTACTTTTGATCCATGGTTGGACATGCAAACTGCAGCTGCGCATTTCACTCCATTACAATATTTCGAAATGCTGTTTAGCGATGATGTAATCAATATGTTTGTACACTACACAAACCTCTATGCAGCTCAAAAAAATGCAAGCAAACCGGTCAATGTCAGCACAGACGAGATGCGTTGTTTTATAGGTATACTCCTGTATAGCGGATACGTTGTTCTGCCTAGAAGATGCATGTACTGGCAAAATGCTGCAGATTGTGGTATGCCTATAGTTTATAACGCTATGTCCAGAGATAGATTTACAAATATAATGGCAAATCTCCATTGCTGCGACAATACAAATCTAAAATCTGATGATAAGTTTGCCAAGTTACGTATTCTATTTGATAAGCTCAATTATTCTTTTTCTGCCAATGCACCATTTGAAGAGCATCATAGCACAGACGAGGCAATGGTTCCTTATTATGGGGGCCATCCGTGCAAACAATTTATTCGAGGAAAACCCATAAGGTGGGGATATAAGTTTTGGGTTGGAGCAACACGCTTAGGTTACATAGTTTGGTTCGATCCATACCAAGGACAGTCAAATGCTTCAAACCAATACAAACATGCATTGGGTTTGGGTGCCAGTGTTGTCTTGCAGTACGCAGATGTGCTACGTAAAATCAACAGTCAAGCTCCATTTCATCTATTTTTTGATAATTTTTTTACATCTATTCATCTCATTGATGAATTACGAGAGCGAGGTATAAAAGCCACTGGAACTGTACGAGAAAATCGTGTAGCTAAATGTCCTTTGCCCACCAATAAAGAATTACAAAAGACACCACGAGGAACATTCCGGTACCAGTCCACCAGCGCAGAACAGATTCTGGTGTGTAAATGGCATGATAACAGTGTGGTGACTGTTTCATCAAACGCTGGGCGGGTTCAGCCTGTAGTAAAAGTGAAACGATTTTCCCAACAACTGAAAAAATATGTCCTAGTTGATCAACCTGCTGTTGTAAAAAAATATAATGAACACATGGGCGGAGTAGATCGATCCGACCAAAATATAAGTCTATATAGAACATCAATCAGAGGAAAAAAATGGTATTTTTCGTTGATTTGTCATGCATTGGACATGGCTGTACACAATTCTTGGCAATTATACAAGAATGATGGAGGTGAGTACGATTTTCTTCACTTCCGTAGAAGTATTACCACATCTCTTCTTGAAACATACAAAAGAAATGCAGACCGCAAAACAAATCGCGTCTCGCAAAACTTTCGAGAAAATTCACGTTTTGATGGAAAAGATCATCTTATAAGGTACAGAGATAACCAACTTCGTTGCATAGAATGCCATAAAAAGGCAAACTTTTACTGCCCTAAGTGCAATGTTACTTTACATCCTAAAATTTGTTTTGAAGCATTTCATTTACCTAAATAAAACTCGGTTTTATTTAGGTAAATGAACAAAACAAAAATATTTTATTTTTACCTTTATAGCATAGTAGTACATAATGCTATCGTCCTTTATAAAGGACACCATTTTCCGAGTTTCCCAAATGAGTATGATTTTTTAAATTATTTTTTACGGGTATAATGTCTCAATATTACCAACATATGTCAAATTCGTAAAGATCTGACATGAAAAGTGGTTTCAGGAACATGTGGGTTAAACGTTACAGGTGTTTTTGAAAAGGTAGCAAGGTTCGTTATTTATTTTGCGGCTGTCAAGTAAAACAAATTTTGAAAATGTTCTTTGACAAACTCTTATTGGAAAATTTCATAAAAAATATCATAGTTCTCAACGTTAATTATAAGGTAAGCCAAAAAGGAGTCAATTTTGCGCCGATAAGCGTAGCGACTAGCTTGCCTTCACACAGTTATTCTTTCGACTTATATGGGGAATGTCAAAAACATCGAAAATAACCAGACATAGAGACGAAATATTATTTAATTTGTTATAATTATTAATACAAAGATCGAACACTCAGAAAAAATTCTTTCGATCCGGTCGGATTCGAACCGACGTCTTCTTGCATACCGTGCCAGACGCTATACCAACTAAGCCACGGAACGAACCAACGGACCTCACGAATTTTTCTATGTGCTTGGGTCGTGTCTTTGTACTTGGTCTTTCAACGACTTTTTAGTCGATCTTTCGAGTGTTCGATCTTTGTATTAATAATTATAACAAACTAGTGGAGTAATTTCACAAAAAATAATTGAATATCAATTCAATAAAAATTTTATTATTATTTAATTTGTTTGAAAACTATTCTGCCAAATCATTACTGTGCCAAATGCGTTCCGATTGGCCAGTTCGAATTCGAAACAATTGACGTGTGTCGTTAATTGTGTCACTTCGAATCGACTAGTTTAACTTGAGCTTTGCTATAATGGACGAAATTTGTCCACGTTTTCCCACACCACCGAATAGAACAGCCATTGTTAGAGATATTATCTTTATTACAATAAATACAGAATATTTTTGGAATATACGGATACGTACATACAGGTCAGTTGTTAGCGCTGTACTATGTAAGCTTTCTAGTTTGTTATTTCAAACGAGAATTGATATTTAAAATGATATAAGAGAAATTTGCCAGATGAGTTGCCAGGGACGGATTTCGTCTCTATTTCTGGTTATGTACTCGATTGTCGAAAACTTTAATTTTATTGATTATTTCCATGATCTGATGCTGGACCAGGAGAGTGAGTGAATAATCAAGAAGCCCTTAAAATTTATCTTGAACAGTTGTTAGCTTTTACATAGGAGTTTTTGTATTCCAAACTCACCTGCAACACTCAGGATCTCCAAGCTCTTAATTTTCGTAAAGAAACTCTCTTGAAACGCGCCATTTGAGCTGCTAGTGCTTCAGCGCCTAGTGAACCTCCCGTTTCGCCTTCCGAGTGTACCTTTATCACGAAACGTAACTATACTAAAAATAATCTAGGATGATCCTTGTGACAGTTCACAAAATTCTACAAAACAAATATAACCTTATAACAACTTGCACTAAGCCTTACTTTTAAATGAAAAGCTTTTGTTTAAGCAAATACATTGAACTAAATTAAAAACAGTCTCAAATCAATGTTCGTTTGTGAGAAATATTACATAGGCGAACGTGGGGCATTGGGAGCTCGCGGGTAATGAGAGCAGTGTTAAACTGGACTTTCCCAACAAATAAACCTATCACAAACTCGATTTTTTGTTCCAAATTAACGTTTGTTCGAATTTTCATTACACCGAAAACCGAATTATAACGAAACCGTTGTTATTTCAAATATGTTAGACGTTTATCGTAAAGACACGATTAGGTTCGATTAGGTTATGCTAAGTTAGGTTTAAAAGAAAAAAAAAACATTTTCCTCTCAAAATTACTTTCGAGGTTATGAAATTTCGACCAAACGTTATTTCTGGAAGATGTCATCTCGGATTACTGAGAGGTAACCTTCCCAATGCTTGTATTTGTGCAAACAGCACTCCTTATGTCTTCGAACCCCACTTTTAGTCGTACGAGATGGTTGTGTGTTTTTCGCTCATCGCTTATAAAGTTTGCCAATTTTCATTATCCCAGGTAAGCTTTAAAACGTAAGATACTACATTATATTTACACTAGTTGTGTCACCATATCTATCAAATTTTAGGTGTTATGCTTGAAATTACAATAAAAATAGAAATGTTTTTACTGTTTTATTCTTTTTTTAATTCAATGTTACAACAATCGATTTTACCTTATCCCTATGACAAACCGTCGCATTACTTTCTCAAATTCGTATCTTAAAGTACATAGTCATTGAAATGCAAAAAATGGATTGTGTATACTGGATTGTATATGATGGTGAAGTTACGAGCACATGGGACTTGTCAACTTATGTCTCAGGGTGACGGGCGCAGTGGGAGTGCTCCTCAGATCTTTGCAATTTAAAGCTCTGAGTGGCACTGCGACTGTTATGGACAGGCGTGTAGTTTACCATCAGGCGTACGACTTGTCCCTCCCGTCACTTGATATTATAAACAAAAACTCCATCGAGCTTTTAGGTATTAGACAACAAAAAATATCTTTGAAATCTGATTTCTTATTTTAAAAACAAGAAACGTTGGTAAAGAAAACTAATAAAGGTAAAAGCCGAATTCCGGCTTTTGTTTCGTACCTCTCTGGCAGCGGTCCGTTTCTGCATATAGGCTCTCATGTCCTTGTCGGAATGTCCTTTTGATCGGCCGATGCCCTTGCCTAGAGACGTTGTCGATACTCGCCTGAGAATTTGAAAAACATATATGCATAAAAAAAATCCTGACGTTCACCCAATAATGAGAAATGGAATAAGTTTATTATATTATTTAAAGTCTATTGCACATAAAAGAGTACAAATATTATCCGATTTGTATAAAAATATTAGAATTTAAGTTTATTTTATTGATATACTGTTATTTACATATCATAAGTATTTCTCATTTGTATGTAGTTGTATGTACACTACCTATTATGTCGGTTTTCTTATCTGTTTATTTATTATTGAGTTGTGTATTGTTGTCAGTGACTCACTCGTCCCGGGCTTGCTGAAAATCAGTGCCACGAAACGGTTTTAAACAAAAGCCGTTTGTGGCTAAAGCTGAGCAAGTCTCGATTGCACCAGGCGCGACACGCATGACGGTGAATTAAGTACTGCATTGTCAATTGTTTTAATTTTTGTTTATTGTTATTACTATATCATTATTTATTTAGATTCTCGCCTCTCCGTGGGCTTAAAAGATTAATTTTGGATTGTTATTATTATTATTATTGTTCCTAAATTGTTTTGTCTATGTGCGTGTTTGTGCTTGTGTAATAAAAAGTTTTCTTTTTTTCTTCTTTCTTTCAAATGGCGGACTTAATGCCTTTAGGCATTTTCTACAGGTCAATAGGAGAGCTGGGTTCAGCATATTTATTAACACCTCGCATAATACGACAATTAAAAAAGGATAGTATTAAATAAGTAAGTATTAAATAAGTATTAAATGGTATTAAACTGGACCATTCAATGGTCCTTTAATTATAGAATGGCACATACCTGCAATACGAAGGATCGCTATAAGCCGAATGCACTGTCTGCTTCCCATCACTAGTATTCTCAGAAAATCCGAACGGTGTGCCTGAAAAGCGATAACACGTTATATTCTTACTATAGACAACATTTCCGATAATTAATGCGGCCTTTAATTAAGGTTTAGTTATCGATATTTAATTTAATATCACATGATAAGTGTCGATGTTTCAGCTATCGATAGATAAAGTACAATTGAATGGGGATGTAACACGAGTGAATGTGTTTATGTTTAAGGGAGAGTGTGTATAGCTTCTCAGGGAGAGAGAGCTGTGGGTTAAACCCTACACGCCAGGATGTAAAAACCCTGGCGTGTTGAAAGTTTTTGTTCACAAACACAACGCTGGTTCATTCCGTGGCTTAGTTGGCATAGCGTGTGACACGTTTTGCTGGACGACGTTGATTCTAATCCAACCGGATCGAAGGATTTCTTTCTAAGTGTTCGATCTTTGTATTAATAATTACAACAACCTAGTGTAGTGATTTCACAAAAAAATAATTGATTGTCATAGTGGTGAAGCATCCTGACATCCAATAAAACTTAATTAAAATTTAGATTGCCGTGGTACGTTTTGCTTAAGAGTTACTTTGAGACTTGAAATTACTCCCTTTACCTTTCCATTGACGGGTATGTTTAAACGAGATGTGAGAATAATGAGGGGAGGCGTGTGTATAATGCGAGATATTGTGTGTATGTTTAAGTGTGTGTGTATATAACGTAGGGAGATATGTGTATAATGCTATGTGTTGTCAAGTGAGTATGTGTATACCTGTGATAGCTCCACGAGTCATACTAAGTCCCCTTTGTATTCTGGCAATTGCGGCTCGGTGTCTAGGCAAGGGCGCCGTACTGCCTTTCTCTTGGAGCACGAATCTGCCTAATGTTTTCCAACTCGCCTGAAAATCAAAGATGAATAAAGAAAAGAATGTCAGTGAAATAAAATAAATGATTTTGAATAAGAAGCGCTGCGTTAACCCCAGTGGTAACTCGGAACGGTTGCTTCATTTGAGAGACAGGTCACAGGCTACTTAATAATTACTATGTAACAGATGCATCACTCTATAATATAGCATATTATGCTATAATAGCCTACTAAATCTAACTTATGACTCCAGGCGCCAACTACGAGGGAAAAGGAACCTAGTCACGCGTCCAGAGAGGTGAAAATAACATCGTCTGGCGTGTGCAGTCGTGCGGAGCCGAATGCTCATAAACAAAAGCTTGTCCCAATGTCTGTACACTCAGCAGTACAGCTGAACGTTATAACTTGGACCTCTTCAAGGCGAGAGTGAATAGGCATTATTTAGGTTTGCATGCTCCATCGTCGACCTCATCGTCACTATCCATCAGGTGAGATAGAGGTCAAACGTGCACTTATTTTAAAAAAAAAAATTACGTTGTCCCTTAAATGAATTGTGACTTTGTAAAAACGATTGCCAAGAACGGCTAGTTTATTTTTATCCTACCAAAATGTAATTCATGTTTCTGTCCACCTATTTACGACAAATGAATTCGATGTTGCAATTCTAGTGATTCTAGTAATGATAATATTGTATTAGCAAAAAAAATAGTGCGTACTCGTAAAAAATAATGCGTACCACTGACGGTAAAAAATTAGAAAAACTCGAGTTATTGAAGCCCTTTAGCTTAGGGCTTCTAATTCACCCTCGTTAGTAATTTCTTATTTACCGTAATAATAGTAAAGTAATGTACTATTATTTACCTGTGCAGCGTAAACAACTTCATCGTCAGCCAATGCTCGCTGTTGTGGTCCCGCGCCTGCTCTTCCTCCCCATTCTAATTCTTCCACCAACACGAATCTGAAATTATGTAGCAGAAATATACTTTCCCGTAATTGACGTTCATACTCTAATAATGTTTTTTTTAATGTAAAGTAGGAGGCAAACGAGCAGACAAGCCACTTGATGGGAGGTGGTCATCGTCGCATATGGACATTTGCAACATCGGATGAGCTGCCGTATGCGTTGCCAGCCTTTAAGAGCCCTGGAAACACACTTTTTGAAGAACCCCATGTCATAGCGCCAAGGAAATACTTCAGAAAGAAGATCATTCCACATTTTGCACGTTCGAGGAAAGACCGAACGAGAGGGCGTGGTCTTACAATGCCAGGCATCTAAGATGTGGGGATGGACTCTACTCCTTTGGCGGGAAGTGCGATGGTAGAAACGAGACGGTGACATGTTTTTTATAAGTATCAACTCATACTCTGTAACTCTGAGAATTTGGAAAGCTAGATATGGTAAGACCTAGGATTATTGACAGATACTAGCCGTTTTAATCTAATAGTCTGTCCTACCGCCTCGCAGAGGTGGGTTCGAATTCGGGCTCGGCTACCTCTGAGTTTTGCAGCGTGGCGGACTATGGCCTAAGGCTGGTTTTAGAGCAATGCGGATTTAACTGCGGACCGTCCGCGCGGAGCACCGGAGCGGAGTAACACGTGTGGTATTAGAACATCGTTTTACAGTGACGTGGATTGTTCTTACGGAACACGCTCCGCGTGAACTCCGCTCGAGGCACCCGGGCTTTCATTGTAGGCGATATCTTTCGTGAACATTCGCACTGAATTAAATATTTAATTTGGAGCACTGCGGATTCAACGCATGCGGATGGGCCGCAGGCGGAGAGTCAGTACGGACCGTAGCTGTGAAACTAGCCTAAACAGCCTTAAGGTATGTGAGGAGACCCGTGCCCAGAGCGAAAGGATGTATATGGATGAGAATTTATTAAAATCAACCTAACTTAATTGATTTAAAGCCGCACTTTCAGTTGGTTTTTTACGAGTTCCAAATTCATCGAAAACAGTAGGTTTAGTGTTGGGTAATTTTCCGAAAAAATTCAAATAGTGGATATTTTCGAAAAAAAATTCCCGAAAAGTTAGAAAAATTGGAAAAATATAATTTCAAAGGCTCATATTATGTTCTACGTTTAGAAATATGTTTTGATGTTTTATTTAGCGCGAATTATAAAATAAACACCATTAGTTTGTTATAATTATTAATACAAAAATCGGAGACTCAGAAAAAATTCTTTCGTTCCGGCCGGATTCGAACCGACGTCTTCTAGCACACTGTGCCAGACGCTACAACATCTAAGCAACGAAACGAAAGAACGAACCTCACGAATTTTCCTATGTGATTGTTGTCGTGTTTTTGTATTTGGTTTTTCAACGACTTTTAGCTGTAGCGCCATCTATGAGAAATGTACGAAAATATTTCGTCAGTTACCCAGTTAGATATCTTTACAGCTACCAGGCCCGGCTAGAGATGTCGCTATTCACTGCATTTAAACCACACCAACAAAACACCAACTGCTTAGTTAGTGTAGCGTCTGGCGCGGTATGCTAGAAGATGTCGATTTGAATCCGGCCGGATCAAAGGAATATTTTTCTGAGTGTTCGATCTTTTTATTAATAATTATAACAAACTAGTGGAGTAATTTCACATAAAAGATAATTGAATATCAATTCATTAAGCATTTAAAATAAACGTCTATAGCTAAAAATTACTTCGAGAAAAATCGAGATTTAAAATGCTTTCACAAAAAAAATATCTTTTTAATGGCTCCATCGGTTTCGTTGAGAAAGTTCAATATTTGGAAAAACATTTATTTTTCTGAAAAATATGATTTTTATATCTATGACGATAAGGTTCAAACAGCACGTATATACCTCTTAGGATCATCGTGACATCTTGCTTTTGTTAACGCTTGATAGACAACATACGACGCAGTAGCGCTCAATGGTACCTGGAAATAATTTATCTCTTATTATTTTTTTGTAAATATAAATAACATAATATAAAATCTAAAGAGCGTAATGCTTTCTAAAGTCCAAGCTTCGGAGACATTCGACTTTTACAGAAATAGGCGGACGTAAATTAAAATCTAAACTGACAATTTTATGGGAGTTACCATAGTTATCGATTCTTCTTGATCTACACTTGTTGATTAAATCGATCAGACGCTTAGGGCAAAGCAAAATACGTGTCTGGTGGCAAGCGAGACGCCTATCCATAACATTTGCAGTGCCATTCAGGGCTTTAAATCACAAAGATCTGAAGGGCTCTGCCGCTGCGCCCGTCACCCTGGGACAACTTGACATGTCCTATGTGCTTGTAATTTCACCAGCACCCCTGCCCTTCAAAACCGGAACACAGTAATGCTGACATTACTGCTTGACGGCAGAAATGGGTAAGGTGGCAGTACTACCCTGGACGAACTCTTTCACAAGGAGGTCTGCTGCTACTAAAGTGTTCTACCTATAAGGGTGGCATTTAAATTAAAGGATGAATCCGATTTAATAGTATCTCTTATAAGTGTCATAACGGAAACAGAAACGGAAATAGATGTTAAAATTAAATCTTAACGGAAACGAAAACAGATGTGGAAGCACAAGTGTAAACACTACAAAGACCTCAACAAAATAGTTCCTGACAGGGCTTGTTTTTGGTTTCATAATTTAAGTAATAATTTAAAAACTACTAAAAAACGCGCGCTCCACTGCCAAGTAATCCGCACTCACGCCTGATCTATCGCAAACGTTATAAACTTCCGATTAAAGTTCCGTTATAAATGTTGCGCAAGCAGGAACGGAAAGAAAAACAGAAGCAGAGGTTTGTTGCATCACTAGATTTAATCTACTTTTCGTTAAGAGTAGATACTAGCTTAGCTGGAAATAATTTTTTTCCCGTTCTAATACGGTTCACTTTTGAGTCGGGTGGCAACACTGGCTTTATTTTAGAATTTATTTAAAGCCATTTGAAAAATGTATATCGTATACTATTTCAATTGAACTGAATAGAACTTAGCTCAGTTAAAATTAAAAAAAAACATATGTAAAGTAGCTATATTATATTATATATATTAATACAGCGGTTTTTGTTGTAAAATTTCGAAGTAAGTTTGTGTTTTTATTCTATCATATGAAAATCTTTATGAATCGTTTTTTCACATCATATAGTAATTAGTGTATATTCTCATTTTGCTGTATATTTTTTCCAAGTTGTTTTTTATTCAACATTTTCACTATCATGCAGAATCAACCAAAGCCATTTGAGGTTATATAGACTCGTAATTGATTCCAAAAACACTTGGCAAATACATGTAATTCCACAAATTTTTGAGGTCAGTATTTTTTAAAATAAAAAGTTCTAAAAAATTCGTTTGTATGGGTATACCTTTGGAATATAACCGCTCACGCGATACATGCAGCCGTAGACGTATACCACACCTAGAGGTGTCGGTGATGATTTTATACCGATTTATCGGATATCGAAGTTACAACAGGTAAAAGAACTAATATTAATTGCTATTTCGGGAACTACTCTAGCAAACCATAAAGTTTTTAATGCCTGGGTCTGCCATTTAAAAAAAAAACAACTTCAAAAATACGTCACGACAATCGTGTGTGTTATTGTTTGGGCTGGTGATTTCGGTGTTTATTTATTGAAAACATACCATAAGTAGCATTTTTTAAGTTTATCCTGAATATAAATGTTTATAAACTATACTTTAAGGAGTAATTTCATGATAAACGTTAGAACCACTCAATCGGAATATTATCATATTTATCCAAGTACACCAAAAATTCATTAGTGCTTTTTAAGTGCAGGATTTGCGGTGTATTACTGCATTTCATTTGAGATGTTTTTGTTGGTAGTACGGAGGGTATTTATTTAGCAATGCAGAATAATAATTTTTATTTATAAAAACTTGTATTTAAACTGAATACTTTTCTATTTTGCGAAACCAAATAGCCGCCATTTTGCGGTAGGAGGAGCGCATCGCGTGAGCGGCTATAATGACATTTTGTAACAATTAATAAGTAAATTGAATTGAAACTTACTTTTAAAATAGCGTAAGGGATCTCGTGGGATACGTTGTGCACGCAAACAAGAAAGCTGTCTGGCGGTTTACGAGACTCCTCTTGAGATTCTTCATCAGACGGGACTGAACGGTCTTTGGAGCGGTCTGAAGATGCCGATCTGCAGATAGAAGAATGTTTTATTATAATGATTATTATATTTTCTTTATTAAAATTATTAATATAAAGATCACCCACTTAAACATATACACAATATCTCGCACTATACACACGCCTCCCCTCATTATACACACATCTCCCCTCATGATACACACATCTCATTTAAATATAACCGTCAATGGCAAGGTAAAAAGAATAATTTCAAGTCTCAAAGCCACTTTTAAGCAAAAAACTTCTAGTGAACGAGCTGTCAGATCGCCTCGTAGAAGCCTGCGGTAACCACAACCCTGCCAGTTATTTCCGCCAATGAATAAGTTTAGTAATTCAAAGGGTAATGTTGCCAGCCTTGAATGTTGTACGGCCCTCGATGAAATTTTCTATTTATAAACTTTCTTACCTATTTTTTATGTATCTACCTGCTGCTGTATACAAATACTTAACTAATTAAAATGCTAACTACATCATAATAATATTTTAATTACGTGTCATTGAATGGTAGGATGTTTCACCACCGTGATATTCAAATATTTTTTGTGAAATGACTCCACTGGTTTGTTATAATTATTAAACAAATTTCGAACACTTAGAAAAAATTCCTTTGGTTCTGTTGGATTAGAACTAAAGTCGTCAACTAAGCCTCGAAACGGACTTTACGAATTTTTCTATATCTTTGTTCCAGATTATTGCATTTGATTTTTTAACGACTTTTTTGCCGCAGCGCTATATGTGAGAAATACTTGATGTCATAACATGTGCGTAAAATTATATAATGTATTACCGGACAACATAAAAATGTTACCTCCGTCTAGATTTAAGAAAATACTATTTGAATTGCTTGTGACAAATTGTTTTTATAATGTAAATGAGTTTTTGACATTTTAATTTTGAAACCTGCGACCTTCTACATAGTTATTGCTTTGAAATGCGTTCTACTTTTTTATTAAATCATAGTTTTTCTTTAATTATATTATTTAAGGAACAAAATGTAATATTATATACAATATGATTTTAATTATATAAGCAATATGTAATAAATGCGAACAATGTATAATATTTGCTATTAACATTTGTATGCCAGTTACTGACACAACACGCTGAACCATAAGTGTAATCTTAAATATGTGAACTGTATTTACCGTCTATCTTACAAATAAATATATCTCTATCTCTATCTCTCTCTATCTCATAAGTTGATAACAAATACATGACCCGAGGAAATAGGAATGCATCATAAATTTTAACTATAGAAATAAGAAAACCAATGTACCTGATACTCGTAAGCCAAGCTCGACTGCTAGGATCATCTCCAACTCGTTTCAGCAGCAACCTGGCCCCCGGCCTGGCAGTGGCGGCACGCAACACCCTCTCGTGCGGCGCTAAGACTCTCTGCGTTGGTGCACGGGAGGGAACCTCTTCAACGAGCACGTAGTTTCCTCTGGACGATCGACAGACCCCGGCTTTTGTAAGACATTGAGCTATCGCCTGAAAAATAATTATATTTCAGATTATATTTTTCAGGAATGCATTATGTGTTCTTACCTTATACTAAATCTATGGTTCTTACAATAAGTGAGTGTAGTGCTGTAGGGAAGTTTGTGTGTAACTTTGTGCGTGTGTAAGTTACGCCCCTCGCTTTTAATAATGTGTTCTTCTTACCTTAAGTAGACGTGTGTAGTTTGGTGTAGGGGCGGTACGATTCGGTTTTTATGAAAATCGATTCAATTGCATTCGAAATAGCAATTTTTTCAATCGATTTTTAAGCGAATCGATTCAAAATTAACGCGAATCGAATAGTCTAGATCGTATTAATAATTTAAAGCAAAAGTCTCTACCTATTATAATGATTCCTTCAAGTAAAGGAAAATATAGAGCAGGACAATGTTTGGGATATTAAGTTATATGACATTATTATTGAAATGCCAATTTTAAAAAGCGATTATTTAATTTATTGACTGGGAAAGCATATTATAAAGTCAGCGATTACTTAATGACAAGAACATAGAATAATAGTTAACCACCACAAAATAATGACATAAATATAATTAAGAATTAAAATTAAAATTAACATTTGACATTTTGTAATTAAAATATAGTAGTATACTGTTAAATTAATTTAATTATGTAAATTGTACGCCGTAAAATTGGCAATACGTACTGACACAACAATGTTAAATAAGACCTTATAGACGTGCGTACACAATAAATGATTTGATTTGATTTGATAAGTTTAGATACATGTAAAGGATTTGCATCCGTGGAAAGAAAAAAATCACATATTATTGTGGCAATTATTATTAAATATCAGATAATAATAAGGTATTTCATTTAATACTCACTTTTAAAACGACTTTTATGAGATTTATTCAAGCCCATACGATCCGATCTGTTTATCGATTTAGAGGCATATGATCCATTACGATCCAATAAATCGATTCAAAGCAACAAATCGTGCATCCCTTGCTTCTTTAGGGAGGGTTTGTGTATAAGTGATTGAGTGCGCGTGTGTGACTCCACTCGCTTCTAATAATGTGTTCTTACATTAAGAACACATTATTAAGTGTGTGTGTGTGTGTGTGTGTGCGCAAAGTACTGGTAGGTTACATAAATAAACACAATTATACCCAACCTCATTCGCTGTGGTATCCAGTGTCACTTTCAAAATAGAATACGGTTCATGTCTCTGAACAGCATAGACGACTAGAAAGTGAATTTTTCTTCTCTGATTTGGAGAACTCGGCTCGAGATCTCCGTAACAGCTTTCTCCTGCCAGTTCTTCGCAGCATCGGGAGAATATTAAAAGAGATGCCATGTTAAGGGGCTGATTTGTTGGTGACCTGTGAAAATTAAAATAAAATCAATATCTTATTATTTTTTAATTTTAATTTATTACACGGACAACAAAACAGATGACAATGAAATTATTATGATACGTACTGTACTGTATTGTGAGTACTGAACGTATGTTTTAAGCTAGGCAGCGACATGAGTCGTAAAAAGAGTGTTGCACTACTGTTATTGATAAGAAAGCATAGGAAAAAACACAAAAATTAACATCGCAGGAATGCGCGATGCGGAGTAATTCGAAAATTTTTGCAATGCGTTATGCGAGCTCTTAGATTTCTGCGATACGACGTCGCATCGCAGTTTTGTATGTCGACCCTAAGGTCTCCTTTTATACCTAAGCTAAAATCGTTGAAAAATGCCTTATTGTACTGTTTTGGAGTGCAAAAATGATAACCAAAAATATTACCCGTGGTGATATTTCATATCATCGGTACGTGTGTACTATTTTAAATAAATATTCAATTTTCTGTCTAACGAAATAATTTTTTTGTTACAAGAAACGTAAGTAAAGCTTTATACCCTTGCAGTAAGGTCGCTTCTTTTTGGAGAACTAAATTAATAACTCCAATTCGTCATATTTCAGCAATTAACTGCTAGATGGCAGCACATTGATTGAAATTTCAATATAATATCAAAACGTCGTAACTTGCAATAATAGGGGTATAGTTTAAATTATATTAACAATCCAGAATTAGTTATTTATTTTTGAATTTGAAATTACGACGAAAAAATATCAAGATTTTTGTAGTGTTTCAAATTAAAAATGCGTGAGTTTTGGTGACACCGTTCTGACATTAATAGGGATACTGCCGTTGTTTTTTCTTCCGTGCGTATAATTGTTATTCTTACAAGTATGCAAGGTCGTTACGCCTTGTAGAGAGGTACAAGCATTGACTTACAATTATATGGACGTCGGGTCCGCGCTAAAAGTGTCCGAACTTATAGGGCGTTAAAATCGTATACAGAGCGTCATTCACGCTTTAGTCTTCGTTTGTTCGACTGACAGCGAAGCAGGCAAAATTAGACAGTACTGCGATGACATTACATTTAAATTCAACGTTTTAGCTTTTTCATATTCCTTTACATGTCACTATTTTTAAATAGGTTGACTTGGGACATTTTTTCGTGGTTTTTGTATTAGA